TGTGTGTGTGTGTGTGTGTGTGTGTGTGTGTGTGTGTGTGTGTGTGTGTGTGTGTGAGAGTGCGTGTCTGTGTGTGTGTGTGTCTGTGCGTGTGTGTGTAGATGAATATCTGCTCCAGTATGTAAATGTTTAGCGTGTGGAGTCAGAGCAGATATTAGTCCCGCACACCTGATAGCATCAAACCGTCAGCATGTCGACTTCTGCAAAATTCAAGGAGAAAACAGCTATTTGAAACCGTAACAATATTTCACAATATTGCTGTTTTTACTGTATTTTTGATCAAACAAACTCTGTTGAGCAGAAGAGACTTCTTTCAGAAGCATTCTATTGAACCCAAACTATTGTAGTTTTTCGTTTTTCGTACTTTCTATTTTATTTAATTTAACGTTTTAGTAATTTAGTTTTTTGTGTGTGTGTTTTTTTGTCATTCTTATTAGTTTCTTTTTTATGGTTTTTAAATTATTTATAGATTAAATATCAGTAAATACTACAAAAACAGTTTCATATTATGAAATGAAAGAGGTAAAAAAAACTCCTAAATTATAATTATTAAAATAATCTAATATATAATTATAATAAATTATTTATATTTGTATTATGTTTGTTATTAAATATGTATATTTAATGGTTATATGAAATATTTAATAATATTAATATTTTTTATAATTATAATTAATTTCAATAAATAATTAATACACTAATTTCAATATTTATTTTTATTTCAGTTGTAGTTATTTTAGTACATCAAGTTAAACTAAATTAAAATGAAAAAATTTTGCTGATATATACGTTTTTTTATATTTATTTTATTTTTTATTTGTATTTATTTATTTTTTGTTAACCATAATAACCCAGATTTCGAACGCTCTCCAGGACAGAAGGGGCCAATGCTCCTGAGATAAGAGACTTCTGAAGATGCCTGATAACCCAGTGTGCATCTCTCTCTCCGTCTGATTCATAGATGCTGTGTTTAACGTAATTACACTGATGTGCTCGGGGGTTTGTATGTTCCTCTCCGGTCGCAGCGCGTCTGAATTCTGCTGTGTTTTTCTCGACAGGCTCCAGATAAACACAGCATCACCCCGCTGCTGTCTGCCACTTACGAGGGTCACGTGACCTGCGTGAAGATTCTTCTAGAAAAGGTAGCGATGCATTCGCATGTCCTCCCGCTCAGTGTGTGAGTGTGTGTGTGTGTGTGAGTGTGTGTTTGTGAATGTGTGTGTGTGTGTGTGTGTGTGTGTTTGTGAGTGTGAGTGTGAGTGTGTGTGTGA